GGCCACATCTCTCTAGCAGGCACCCCAGAAGCCGCCGTCAGCGGGCTGGGGGGACGAAGACATGGCAAACCAAGACGGCACAGGGAACTCCATTTCCCGCTGAAACAGGTTGATATAGCCGGTGTGGAACTTTGTCTGAACAATCCATTTTTTTTTTTTTTGAGGAACTTTCAACTTTATTTTATATCCCATAATGTAAGGGATTTGTATTTTTTATTCTACAGAACTATGTGTTACCAAAAGAGGGAAAAGTATGATAATGTCTTTTCTGATTTCTGGGGCTACTTTTATTGCCATTTTAGTGACATGTGGTTGTTGTTGTGTGCCTTGTATCTGCTCATTGTGTGTTAAGACTCATCAGTTCCACCATTGAGGGAAGAGTAAAGATGACTCAGCTGACAAGGACTTTGCTTTTTAGACATATTTTATTCTCCCTCCACTGTCATAATAAGTTGTTGTTGTGGACTGTTCCTAAAGGTTTAAAGTGCTCTATATCCCAACTTCTGATGGGTTAGGGTTGACAGTGGCCATGTCGGCAGGCCACATCATGTAGACAGCCAGTCACCCTGTGTGAGGCAGACCCACATTTGCGCAGCGTTGCGTTGCAATATACTTTGGCGGCCTTTAATATACCTGGGCGGCCTGCCCAAGTAAATTCTATGTGTGGGAAACCCTGGTTTATTTTTGATCATTTTGCTCTTTTCTGTTTTTTTTTTTTTTTTTGTCAATTTTTTCTTCAGTTCACATGTGTAAAACTTTAATTTGCACGTGTTTTAAAATAAAGCATCTGCTCAGGATTTTTGAGTTTGTATTCTCCTTCAACCAACACCGGGCCAAGTTCTACATATATCTGAATACAACGGAGAGATATTGGAATAAACCATAAAGCTTCAAACTCAGAACAACTAGAAAAGTGCTGAAACATTCCCTTCAAACATGCAAGACAATTGTAAGTGCTGCTGCATAGGTTGAACTCTCAAGTGATGATATTATTTTTTTGGACAAGCAAATCAGGTGGCTCTTCAGTCTGCGACGGAAGATGTGTAGACTGTCCTGATATCAGTGGGAGGCTCCTTCCACCATTTGGGAGCCAGGATAGCAAAAAGGCGTGTCTTTGTTGAGGTGTGCCTGGGTCCACTCCACATAAAACGGGTTCTCAATTATGGAAATAAAGCTTGTAGTCTTGCCACCCTGTAGGGATTGCTTTGGCACTGATTATTATTATTATGTGGTTTCTTTATATACTTTATGTTCACCTAAACACATTCTAATTCATAACAAACACACCAGCCCATTTTAAAAGTATCAGTAATTTAATTTCCTTTTGAAAAGATGTAATGTACAGCCTGTAAGGGAGTCCTGACACGCGTCCATCAGTCCACTGAACAAGTCATCACCTACAGTCAAACATGTCATTAGATAAACGGCGTACATGTATTATTTTAAGTGCACGGTATCTTGATGATGAACAAAACCTAATAGTTTACAAGCAATGCTGTACAAAAGCAGACCATTTAAAAACCACAAGATAATATGTATTTAGAGCAGCTCCCCCTAAGGTGCAGTATACTTTCCAGGAAGAATGAAAACTGGAAACATGGACATTTGTGTAAACATTTCTTGTGTAAATATTATTTTTAAATGACCAGAGCAAAACATCATTCCAAATGTCACATACAAAATGATGAAATGCGTTTTCAAATTGAAACCTTCTGCAAGCAGCTCCTCCAGCAGGGTAAAGAGAGCAGTGTAATGTGAAGCCTCTGATGACATAAGAAGAAATGTAAAAAGTGACAAATATACATATACAGCAAATAAAGGTACAAACTTATATTCACTGGGTGCATTCTCAAATAAAAACAAAAGGGTGCTTTTCTGAAGACAAAATTACATTTTATTTTGAGTTTGGAATCATTTTTCTCTTGGATACAGCACAACCAAAACCATTATGATTTTTTTTCATGCCTATTATTCTCCCCTTCATTTATCCAATTACACATGAGGTGATAAGCTTAAGTAATCATTTCCTACCAAAAATGGGCATTATGTCATATTGCCGAAAATAATTCTACAAAAAATTGTATAACAAAAAACAGGTTGAAAACCATGTAAATTGTGTCTGAATTCAGGTTACAATGCCAAAGTAATTGTCAGTGCTGGAAGCAGGGCAGTTTAGTGTAGTGGAGCGTTCCGTCAGTCATGTTGTGACATCACTTACTGCTGAGGACTTTGCTGGAGAAGCCATGAGGGGTGCATTCTGTACAATGGAAGCCGTGCATGAACTCAGCCACCGCTCCAACTGAATATCACCAAACTTGTTTCCATCCCACAGTGCGATTACCACTTTGTGGTTTACAGGAAACCTCCTGCTGGTAAACTGCATATCTAAGACTCAATAAGTCGATAAGGATCACCTAAGGTCACCAACACTTGAAGGACAAAGCTTCATGGGTAACGTCCTTCCAAAGATGCAGCCCCTGAATCTGGAAACAATGTATGCATGTGGACTTGGGTAGAAAACACTGACATGCTCAACATGTAGTTCAAATACTTTTGATTGAACTCATATTTTATGACGCTAATCATGTCAACAATAGCTAAATCATAGACTTTAATTATAAATGGTGCATTTGGGTTTACTTCTGAAATCACTGAAATGGGATATGCTAAATGATATTGTTTGGACAGCCCTGGGTTTTTTTTTTTTTTAAATGAAAGAAGACATAAGTCTGATTGCAGGATGAATCGCTGCACTCTGATCAGTCTTCCAACACAGACAGAACCTCAGCGCTGCAGTTGTGTTGAACGTTGCTCAGAATCAGAGGACTGCGGCAACATGCATTAATCAGATATCCTTTTCATTTAAAAAACAAAGGTGTTTGAACATCCATCTTTGTTTGCTGGCCAAGTACAAAGATCTAAATATTTAGGTGTCTCAGCATTAACAATTTAAATTGTTGCTACATAAATGCAATCTTTTTAGATGAAATCAAGTATAAAATATACCTCCTTCATGTTACTTTATCAGGCTAACACCCGCAGCATGACACCTTACATCTGGTTTGAGTTTGGTTGTGAAGGAGGACATTTCAATCAAATGTTCTATTGCCAAATAAATATGACATTACTAAGCGTTTATATATGATATAAAGTAAACCTCTCTGTTAAGGCAAGTGGTGACCATTACATTATGGAGCATTTGCAAAAGAATGATTGCTGATATTTTGAAACATATTGCAAAAACAAAATAAAAGGCTATTGATGTGGATCTTCATATCAAATCTGAACAGGTTTGTTCTTCCATCAGCTGCACATCTCATCCCAATTTATGAAAAGGGACAAGAGAAAAATGATCCTTCTTTTACATAAATCAGCATTTTTATCTTCAAAGTTCACACTTCTAAGAATGACTTGAGAGCTTATCATTGGACTTCAGAAACAGAATGTGGTCCATACTAACAGGTCAGGGTTTAGTGTCATCACATGTCACTCTTCCCTCTCACATAATAATCAGTGGATTTGAATTAGATTTGCTTTAACATTTAGATGTATTACTGTTATCATACAGTGCCTATCTCGTTTACCAAAAACAATGAATAAGTGCACTTTTGAAAAGTCCCATTACCTAGAAACATACCTGCATTCAATGTAACTACTCTATGTACTTGGTAACAGGTTGGGTTGAACATGCTGTCTAAATCAAACAGATTAGAATAAAGAGAATATCACTCACAAACTGTTGTCATGGGAATCTCACCAACGTTGCAGTTGAACAGAACAGGAGGATATCACCGGTAGATGCATTAGTCATTCCAAGTGCTTTAAGTACAACATTTATTTTTATATTGAACAAAGCAAGGTACTATATTAGGCTACAATATGCGCTTTCAAACAAGGCAAGCCACTGGTGAGTAAACTGTATATAAAACGATATATAGTGGATTGAGTGTATCGTCTGCTCAGGACATCAGGGCTTATCCACAGCTAAAACAAACAGAAATCAATCTGAGATTTATTCGGGGCAGTCCTTGTTTTCCGTCAGGTGTTCTGCTGAGTATTTCAATATTAGTTTTAACTCTTAAAAAGGTTGTTCCATTATGATTTATCCAGCTAGGAAGCCCCTCCTAGGTAAGATGACTTGAGTATGGTCAGCGATGGTGGTAGATATGAAGCAGCTCTGTTTGACGGGGGCTCTTAGGGTCCACTGACAGGACACCTAAAGGTCAATGTGGCACATGATTAGAACAACTGTGTCCAACATTATTATGCTTAATGTTTACATTTTTACAACAACAATTAAAGGAAATGTTCCCAATTAGTTCATGCTTGTCTTAAGACGATAGTCGGGTGCCCATTTTGAACAGCTTGCTACAGCTGTACTTATTCCTCCTGTCATTACTGGACATTTAGATCCTTTAATTGATCAGGGAGAAAGTCCAATGTCATCATAATGCAAATATATTCGAAAGTTTATCTGAAACTCATAATAGGCTTCAACCGTTTGCGTAACACAAATCTTCTGTCAGAAATGGAGATATTGTATAGAAACGTATAGGATCCGGGCACTGTGCTGTGGGCGTTACCAAGCTTCTAAAGCAATCATTAGGACCAAACCCTTCTCAGTAAGACTCAGGAACAAGCTGTCTGGTCCTCTTCAGAGACAAGTTGAACAACTCACCTGTTTACTTTCTCAAATCCTCAATGACCTCATCATGTTGCTTCAGAATATCTGATCATTAACTGCATTTGGTGTGGTATGTTTTAACTCTACTTAATGTACTGCCATCTTTGATTCAGTTCATGCTAAAAGTATTGGTCCTTTATTTTCTTTCTTATTCGTTATCATCCTGCTTTTGTTTTCAAAAGACAAAAACGTGTTTCCATATTAAATGTAAGTACAATTTGACCTTTTCATTCCATGCCTTCAAAATACTGTAAGCATCAACTGATATTTCCATTTATCCTAAACAGTCACAACATACCACTTCATCAAAACAATATGCTCTTTGAATGACCTTTTAATCAAAGTTATATTTTCAACAATAAATCATTGTGTGCTTTTGTGCCCCGAGCAATTTAAGTAGCAAAATATAGTGTTAGATCTCAGGTGCCAAAGTAGCTTCCTCCCTTTAAGCATTGTCAATGCAACAGCGTGGTGAGTATTGTAGGCTTCTAAATAAAAAAACATGAAAGTCTTACAGTGAATAAAACATGTTCCTCTCTCATACTCAATGTCATGTCAGAGAAATAAATACAGTCATTCAAAGAAGAAACAACAATGTAAACACACACAAAGTAAAGCTGTCTTCATAGATGCAAATCAGAGAAAAAACATCAAACTATATATGATTATTATTTGCTAGTTGCTGCAGTGTGGAGGGGGTGTGGGAACACTTTGTTCTATATGATCCAAGCCCTGACATGTGCACTGTGCCAGCTCCAACTTCTTGTCTGCATTTCCACACAGTGCTGATGTGGACAAAGGACCATATTTATTCCTTACTTTTAGTTTAAATAAAACTCAAGAAATATGTTAACGGTTCATATTTCAAGACAAAACAATTTGTGGAATACATTCAGGAACATTCAAGTTGAGTGAAAAATGAAGCAATAAACAAAAATGAGTGAAAAAACAAAAATAGAACATGTAACATATACACAATAATAATTTATGAAGACAATTCATCGCCATGAAGTTATCATATGTTACAACTTATTACTAAATCCTAACAGTCCAGACTCCATTCCAGGCTGAGGAGTTATTATAGTTTCTCCTTTGAGGGGATCCAGATATAGGGTCCTGAATGTTCTTCTATGACCTGTTTGCAGTGGTTATAAATGTCCTCTAAGGTGTCTCCTTGAACCAGGGCTGCAAAGCAAAGGGAACTCTTTATGTACTGTGGAACTTGTGGAGAACAGGCACATCAAATAAAAACATTCCTGTCTCACTGACACCCTTTTTTAAGTTCAGAAATGCAATCATACCACTAATACAACACATGTCTGTTCAGGCTGAAATTCAAAATGATTGCAATAATCTAAGACAACTGATCACACAGATTCCCTTTATAATTGTAGAAGTTAATCTTAGCTGATAAGTGAGAGAATCCTGACAATAATCCTGACATTTCAGGCCTCTGCCTGATGCAACTCACGTTTGAAGGAAAGCCTGCGAGTCAGCAGTTTTGTTGCCAGCTCGCATTGCCTCCTCATATACTGTGAGGGACAAGCTGAATATAGATGCTTCACTGAGTATATGTGCTTTTATTTACCTGTGAAGAATTCACCAAACTCCTGCTCCAGCTTCAAAGCTCTGTCAAACGTCTTCCTGGCCTGGTCCTCTGTCAGTCTCTTGTTCATGTCCCTGGGCCAGGCAAAGGAAACAAACATCCCACACATGATTTGTCTTTTACATGTGCTGCTGTGGACGGGCGGCAGCAGACCATATTTCAGTCAACCTGAACTAATCTACTTTTCAGTATATGCTATATCTATATCTATATTGTCACTGCTTCATCTGGTTGTGAGACTGCTATACTGTCTATGTTTCTAACTGAGAGCTGAAGCCATGATCTGGGCTCTCACCAAAGCCCCCCACTCACTGACATTACTTCTCTTCTGACCCCCTGCTGACACATGTGGATAAGAACCTCATACAGCAAGTGGAAAACATGCAGACTTTCCCCTGATTTAGCAATTATAGGCAGTATTCACACTTTGAATGGATGGTTTATAACATTCTATATCTATCTGAAAGCAGATAGTGTATAAGAACATCTTTGTGTTAAAGTGTATTAATGCTCAGTATTTCATGTGTTGTACTATAACTGAACAGTAAAGCATTCTCGACTTATCAGTGACAGTTGTTAACAAATACATGAATTACCACATCTGCTTACATAAAGATTGTATTGTGATATAAACCATTTTCTTACATGTGTATTTAAAAAAATGATACTAAGGGGAATTAATTAAAAAAGTGTTAGCAAATTCCATTTAGTCTTTCAGTTTTATGAAAAAGATTGTACAGTACTAGTGGAAGGTTGTAGTAACTTTCATGAAAAACACAATAATAAAAGATGAATACTCACATTAATGTATCAATAGACTTAGGTTTTATGAAGATGGCGATGGGATAGAGTTGTGCTACTTGTAGTCGCTTGATGGCGTTTCCAGATACATCCAGAATGCAGTGTTTACCCTAACAGAGTCATAAGAAATGTACCACTTAAAACCACTCAGATTATCACGTTTTACCCTCAAAGCTGCAAGGCTTTCAATAAATCCTATATGGTGTAAAACAGTGCCATAAAATGCATGTTGTAAAATAGATCCACATGTCACAGAGCAGCCAGGGTGACAACCAGGAAGTGTACAGTATACTGGCCTTACCCTGAAATAATTGTATATATTTACATGTTGCTTCATATGGTGCAGCTAATATTAACAGACACTGAGTCTCACCCTTTCAGCCACATATTTGACAGACTGGACGCTGGTCCCGTACAGATTATCGTTGTACTGCCCCGCCTCGATGAACTTGTGCTCCTGGATGTCCTTCTCCATCTGCTCTCTGGACATCACAAAGTGGTAGTCTCTGCCGTCCACCTCGTAGTCCCTCTTCGGCCGAGTGGTATCTGTGGAGGAGGACAAAAGCTCTTCATCACCTAGGAACTATCATACCTTAACAAGATTAGTTGACACTTGCTAAATCTCTATAAAACACATTGCAATTGTAATGCAGTGTTCTTTAACCCTCTGTGTCCTGCTTATCAAATAATACTCATATAAAGCAGGTTTATGACTAAGTCACTAATGTGCGTGTGTGTGTGTGTGTGTGTGTGTGTGTGTGTGTGTGTGTTTTGATTTACATGTTTTGCATTGATTCTTTGTACAATTAAACACTTTACAAACTAATTGTACAAACACCTGTTGACATCATATGCACTATGGCTATATAGTCTATCTTTATGTAAAGCACATTGTGTTGCAATGTGTTAGAAAACATTTATATAAATAAATCTTTGAAGTGACTTTAGTTTGGACACCTTGTTTTATCACCACATTCAGAGGCTGGAGACGGCTGATACTGCACATTGTAACATCATTCTTTACAATTCAATGAATCCGCACTATTAGTTATTGTTTCGAACTTGCTCTAGGAAAAGTGTCATTCTGAAATCTCTTAAGAGCACAGGCCGCATCCACCTTTATCAAAATCATCTTAATATTGAGCCATGACATTGCAAATCTTTAACGTGGTGCAATCAACGTTCCGGCCCTTCTCTCTCTAATTGCACTCACTCGTAAAGAGCGCTCTGTGCTGTAACTAATGCTGTCCACGCTGACCTGTCAGTTGTTAATGGCTGAAATAAGTGTGGTTCACATGTACCTTTAAATATATCAACTCACACGTTAAAGGGTTTTTTATGAAATGTATACAAGGGAGAAAATGAGGGACAATAAATGTCACAATCTACGCTCTCTCAATAAAAACATCCTCCCCTCGGTCATGAACCTTGGAGTTACCTTCAATAGCAATTTTAAATTCGACAAGCAGGTCAGCACCGTAGTCAAATCCTGCTTTTTCTAAATACGACTATTGGCCAAGACCAAGTCGTTTTTATCTTTTAAAGACCTGGAAAGGGTTATTAACGCCTTTATTACCTCAAGACTGGATTACTGCAACGCTCTGTACGTGGGTATGGACCAGGCCTCAATTAAACGCCTGCAGCTAGTGCAGAACGCAGCTGCACGTCTTCTGATTGGCCACAAAAAGCGTGACCACATCACCCCAATTCTGGCCTCACTGCACTGGCTTCCAGTTCGGTTCAGAATTGATTTTAAAATCCTTTTATTTGTTTTTAAAGCACTAAATGGGCTGGCTCCGGCCTATATAGCTGAACTTCTCCAGCGCTACACCCCAGCCAGAGCTTTAAGGTCTGCTGACCAGCTGTTGCTGATAGTGCCCAAGACCAGGCTCAAAACCCGAGGGCACCGAGCCTTCGCAGCAGCTGGCCCTAGGCTCTGGAACACTCTGCCCCTCCATGTGAGGTCGGCCCAGACCCTAGGGGTTTTTAAATCTATTCTTAAAACACAATTCTTCTCTCTGGCCTTCTAGTCAGAGCGGAGCACGACTCCTGACTTTTCCCTGTGTTTTTTATATATCTGTTGTAATTTATTGTCTTTTATTGTGATTGTAGTAATGTGTTTTTATTACATGTACAGCACTTTGGCTGGACCAAAAATCGCTTTTAAATGTGCTTTATAAATAAAACTTGATTTGATTTGATGTTTTGACTTTGTTACTAAGTTAACTTAACAATAAACAGAGGGTGACTTGTGTGGTTTGTTCATGTATGTTCTATAACAATTTGAATGTTCTTTGGAGTTTGGAAGAGAGGCAATTCCTTATTGTATATTGTTAACATACAATTGTCAAGAAAACTTGACACCGGATATCTTTAAAATCAAGAAGAAAGTTGATTCCTGATTCTTCTACAAAAAAGGAAGTATTAAATGATTTGATTGAAAACAAGTATGCAGTATACCACAAGTTCCCTAATACTAAGAATTGAAATGATATTCTGCACAAACAGTAATCCCACAGGAAACAAAGGGGAACCCTCTCCACAGGACTCACTTTCTAAACAAAGGATTGACAGGGCTCAGGATCCACTCACCTTGGTGCCCGGAAGCGTTAGCAGCTTTATATGGTTTGAAAGGTATATTCAAGTAAAAGAGATGAGGCAATTAAAACATGCAAAAGAAAAAGTGAAAACGTGCAGAGAGGAGTTCTGTTAGGATGAGACAAAACAGGTGTGAACACATTCTGACACCATGCTGCTGCTGTTCCCTGATGACATGTATTGACAGTTTGTTTTTAATAATGTATTGTGAATGTTTTGCACTGAAACAGCATCACAGAGTCAGGAGAGCAGGGGAACTCACACACATCATGCCATGCTACTACTATTATGTGTTAGCATGCATACAGCCTGTAACTTCACATACTTTTAGAGGAACTGTTATCCATGGACAATTGTTTTACTTGATTGCTTACGTGGAACACAAGATCCAAACTTGTCCGGGAATTCTGAAATCAGGTCATCGTTGATTCTGTCCTTCATCGGTCCCAGGATGATGACGGGTCTGGCATAATTAACTGGAAGAAAACACAAATGTTGACAGCATCCTTCAAACATCGTTGATCATTTTTTTAAGAATGAAAATACACCATATAGGTTATTTTTCATAGTTGTGGGCTTCAGTTCTTGTTTGTGTGAATAGTGATTCCTGCTGACACTGCTCTGGCTCCTGAACAAAGCTCCATGAGTGATACAAGCTAACTTCAAACAGTTCATTATATAATTAAGTATCTATTATATTTAAATTGAATATACTACTATATATACCAATCTCTTTAGAAGCTTTTAAAGCAGACTACCATCACTTTTCTCTAGTGCTGTCTTCTGGGTAAAAGTGTGCTGTTTGGAAACTGGCTTCAGTTACAGTAACAGTTACACTTATACAACAAAGACTACATTTGTCTAACAAAGTTTAAAAACGAATGTATATACAAAATTGAAACAAACCAACTATAGATAAATAACACAGTTATTAAGCAAAGCATAGTAACTTAACTGTGTTTTCATTGTCGCTGTCTTTTCACTAAGTTAAGCCTCCTGGTCGGGGCATGCCCCCCCTCCCCCTCTATGTCCCTACATCTCTCAGACCTACCTCCCCCTTCCCTCAGTTTGGTTGTTCATGAGCTTTGAATGTTTCGCACATTCTCATGTTCTACCAGGAGTGTGGACAGAGTGCAGATCTGTTTCAGAGTATTACTACTATACCGAGTCACATGTTCAGATACATTGGCTTTGATGACACACTTAAATGACTACTTACTTTCTTGCCGGATCACAGGTTCATATGAGAGAATCACATCCTCTTGACTCCCTGGAAGGAGTTCATAGGGAAACATGTTATTATGGTATTTAGACAAAATCGTATTACTGAACTAAACAACATGCCGTATTTGACAGAAAGACAGCACAAGTCACTGAACATGTCCCGATTAGGTTTGGTCTGTCTTACTGATGACCTACAGGTTGTCTGGCCCTGAGGACATAACACTGCAGGTAAACAGCTCATGCTAAATACATGAATTAACTGAAAGAAACTAAAGAAATAGTCACATTTCTATTAAGTGTAGTGTCTCTCACTGCTCCAGCTTCCCGATTGATTACATGCAGGAGCTCAGGAAACACGATACAATGTGATATATGACTTATTATCGTGATTATGAACAGTTAACTGCTGTTTGTGTAACTTCGTTGTACACACATTCAGCCAATCATTTTTGTATAAAGTAAGAGCTGCAAAAGACGTAACATTAAAATAAAAAGGAATCAATATGAAAGTAAATGTCTGTATCCTTGATAACTAAAACATTTAATGAAACACATTAAAACATTACCTACAAAACAAAAATAGACATAGTTGTGATAAGCTTTCAAATGTTGCTTTAAACGGACATGCTCACCAGCAAAGCCCCACGTTAGTTGTTTCTTTAGTTGTTTCAGTGGCATGCAAACATGCACATATACATATATATATATATATATATATATATATATATATATCTGTTAATATTGATATATATATACATATATATCTATTAATCTATATATATAGATATATATATATATTTATTTATAGTCTATTTAGCATGCACATAGTACTTTGTGAGGCCAGTACATTCATCATTGAGTGAGGCCTCCCAGACCTTGAGTTTGTGGAAGCAGCCCCCCCACTGATGGAGGTTACACTGCAAACTGAGGAGCAAGAGAAGCCCACAGAGGCGGCATGCAACAGAGCAGGCAAGAGGAACAGACAGGAAATGTGACGTGTTGTCATGGGGGGGGTCGCAGTAAACAGAGATAAGGAATCATTCCCGGACCCACTTACTGAATGTCTTTGTCCCATACCCATCATCACCTATCCCCAGGATGTCCTACCGGCCGTCCACAGAGAGCCACAACAGAAGAGAGAGAGGAAGGAGGAGAGCCACAATGTAAGCTGAGTGAGAGGAGCTGCATCTGTCTCTGCACCCAGCAGGGGGCCCTCTCAACATCATGACACACACTGTAGGCGGGTTGAGATTCAACTTATATATGACATGACCATATGGGCACTTGTCACGAAAAAATGAACATTTGGCTTCTCTCCTGCTCTCTGACCAGAGTCTGAGCCAGAACGCCTCTGAGTGGGGTCCAACAGAGAGAGTAAGAGACCCAAAGGACAGGGAGTGATGATGAGAGGAAGCTCTACATGTGTGTCAGTCTGTGAGCTTACTTACTGTCAGAATCACTGCCATCCTGCTCACCCTCTGTGTTCTTGTAGAATGGGAACTTTCGTGTAAAGATGAAATTCTTTTTACGTTTGTCATTGAATGACTGTGAGAGGAGAGAAAGCATGGGGCACACAGGGTCACGTTCATGCAGACAAATAACAGCTGCAGACTGTGGGACGTCAAGAAGCTCTTACTCCACGATCCAATTAAAATAATGTCAATGCTGAATTTGTAAGGTAGCTAATGAATAACATAAATGAATCTTTTATTTTTAGATATTTGTAACATTATGGAAAGATTCATTTTGTCTAGCCCAGAGTAAATGATATTTCTGTATTGAAACTTGTTGAAATGGGAACCATGATGAGTTTTCTTTTAAACCTAATCAAAGTTGAAATGTGTCTTTACTCTGTTTTTATTTTGGCTATTCTTTCAGCTGACAGGACCAGCGGATGGGGGAAGTCAGTCAAACTCATGTTGAGCATTACATCTTCAGTCCAGAAACCAAATCAGGAAACTAGTTTGAAAAATAAGCCCTGTGTACAGCAGGACTGTAAGAGATAAACTCTTATATATAATGATCACTCTAATCTGCTCCAGTACTTCTTGTTGTGCCACAGTTGCATCAGAGGCATTTCAAGTAAAGCAAGGTGAGAAAAGAGTTGAAATCATGCCATGAGAGAAGTAACATTTCTGGGGTAAGACATAGAGAAGATTGTCAATAGAAAAGAAAACACACATGCATTAATGGGAAGAAAGAATGGAACTCAACTTCAAACAATAAATAGTGTGTGGAAATCATCATTTGAAGACAAAAGGCTGCTGCTGCTGCTGATGGGTAATATGTGCACAGTGTGGAGTCATGCTCAAACGTAGTAACGTCAAAAACTGGTAGAATATATTTGCATATTTAATGAAGTTATATATGTGTGAAAAGATACAGTAACACAGATATTTGTACAATTAACTGAAGCAGAAAAGCCGACTCTTATAAAGCTTCTTCTTTTACAGCCGTTTTAAAAAGACACTGACTCATTTACCTGTAATAAATAAGCATACAATAAAACCATAAAGAGGATATTGGTATTTAGAAATATGTTTTCTTTGATGAATTACACAAACAAAAGATGAAACTGGCTGAAGTGTTTGAATGTATATCTAATCTATATAATCTATCTGATTGACAGGCTGATTTAAGCATGGACATGTAGTGCAGGCAGAACAACAGAACCAACATCCGGCAATGATTACACGGGAAGCTATAGGGTCACTGTTAAGATTTCATATGAAGTTATATCTGAGCGACACTATGAATTATCATCAATGTGGGAACACGAATTGCCGCTGTGCAGCTCTCATAAAGGTACTCACCCCTTTGGAATCAAATGAGCCTGGCTTGGCGTTGAACTTCACCGTCTTTAGCCGCGCTCGCTCTTTCCTTTCCACCCTGCTGGGACAAGGTCATGTGACTCACACTGACACCACATTGAACAACAGAATTGTTGGTGTTTTAAGGCGTATTATATATCTTTGCATCAAATGTATTCCTGCATGTTTGTACTGGGTTCACCGGAGCACAGCTGTGTGGAATAAGGTTACCCTTTGGTTTGCGTCATTGTCAGCGCATTAACTAGCAAGGGTTCCTATTTTAGCACAATCAATATAATCATTTAAAATCACCAACCAGAGACAGATTTCTATCCGGTGCTCACCGTCTCTTGCTGGGGATGACACCCATTTCCTCACTGTCTCCATGTGGGGTGACCCGGCGGGCCTGCCACCACTCATCATCGGAGGCGTTGATGACATGGAGGATGTCCCCATACTTGAAGCTGAGCCCCTGGCTGGGGAGGCCGCTGTCCTTTGACTTCTCATAGTCAAACAGTGCCCTATCCAGTGGAAGATATCTGGGTTAGTATTGCCATGCACTGAATTCCTCTACTCCTCCGCGTGAGGTCTTTCCTAATTGGGTAGTGAGGAACTGGAAGCATATCTTTACCAGGTCAGAGAGAACAGTGACTGCTGGTCCATGGGGGGGTTCTATAATAGGAAATGTTCTTGTGTTGCAGGCACAGATCTTAAACCTGGTTTATAATATATGTGTGCGTGCAATTGTCATTTATTCAGTTGACTCCCTGTCACAGTTTTTCACACAATCCTTTTAAAAGACTGTATTCTTTAATATTACCATGTAGCCTGGAATAAAGAAGTGTATCACATAAAATACATTTGGGGATTGAATGGATGGGCTCCTCTTTTATCTAAATTAAGCTTGAACTTTCTAAATAAGGGTGAATACCTAAAAAGACCAACCTCACATGAAGCGACCTCTTTTGATTGGTCCGCAGAGACCCTGACCCAGAGCTCATGCTGTGGTTCATCATCTGTTCCCGCAGGTCATGGATTTTGGCCTCAAAACGTCCGTACTCTGAAAAAAATATATATCCAATATTAAGTGAAAAGTTGTTCAATAATTCTCTCTTCTGAAACATTTAGAGGGACGATGAAATTCACCACTTGTAAAGCATTTGTTGTTTCTTTATAAAGGAAGTGATGTAAACATGTGATAAGGATCACATTTACCATTAGAACTACACAGGGGTTCTGTCAGGCAATGGATCTGGTTTAGTTTTGGATTCATTACAGCTACACTCATTCCACTCTGAGCTAACAAGATAAAAACCCTGGCATATACATAACTGCTAGCAGTGTCTGAAGGGTCACTACCTGTGAGTAGCAGTACATAAGGTAAAGTCAAGAGGGTTCAAAGAGTCAGACAGGGTAGAGGGGGGGTATTTGGGGGGGGGGGGATCAGGTGTGCTTCAGAGGGTCAAACGCTTGGTGTAGAGGGGTGAACAGTCTGTCCATGCTCACATTCACTCAGTGACTTCCGCTAGTGAATGATGCTAAAGCTCAGAGCAGACACAGGGGCCAGGGGCACGAACCTGGTACAGGAGAGCGGGCCCGTCGGGGGGAGCATAGAGCAAGGTCTGATGGGTAAGAAGAGAAAGCTGTTGTTAGTTCCAGATGGGAACAAGGCCATGAGCTGGAGGAGTGAGATGGGGGCTCTCGATTACTCTGAGTCTACAGACTCATGCTTACAAAACTACTGCTGCCCCCCATTCAACAAACTGGGGAAATGCACAGAGCTGGGCTCAGGCACACATCAATTATCGAGCTAGCATCACACTTGGCACCAAGTGAAGACTGGCCTTGCTCCGAGCTCACACATATTCCTCCCCTTCCATTGCTGACGCTGTCACAACACGGAGGCAGAACTACCCTGGAGGACAAGAAAGTCCTTCAAACATGGTGTCTTATTTGTATTCATTCTAAACGTTAGAATAAAAGAATCCATTTTGAATATAAAATCCATATGAAGCACATTTCTCTTGCCTGTTCGCGAGGGGCACAATCCTACATATACAGTGTGTAGGAATCATATTATTCTTGGAGGCTATTGTATTATTTGTCTTTTTATTTAGTTTCAAAATGCAGTGTTGTCTTTCTGCAGTGAAAGTTTAATTATTTTGCCTTGTGGCAAAGTGACAGATGATTGGCAAACCCATAGAGAAACACTGAGTGTTCAATATCAAACAGATCCTTCATCAGACCTGCAGAGGATTCACATCCACTCCAGAGGGGAACATGATCTACCATGAGAGGGAAACTGAAATGACGAATAAAACACAAGGTGATCCATGACATGACATGTGTGTGTGCTCCTGTGTGTGTGTGTGTGCTCCTGTGTGTGTGTGTGTGCTCCTGTGTGTGAGTGTGCTCCTGTATGTGTGTACCTGTTGGTCCTGACTCACCTTCTGGTCTGTACTGGGCGAAGATGGTGACCACCTGCCCCGCCCCTTTCAGAGCCGCTGCTGCTTGTTCATGAGTGGCTCCTCGGAGGTCAATCCCATTGACCTGTGTGAACAAAAGGGACAAATGACAGGAATATTATGTTGGTCTTTCTGTTTTTTTGGACATAGTATGATTACCTATAACACAATGAACACACTGCTGCAACACCAAACCAATCAAATCTTTATTACATTTCATATTTATTACATTTTTGAAGTTGTGCGATGCATAAAAACACGAAGTTCTCTTCTCATTAGTTGGTCTGATCTTTTGTTGTTTTAACCTACTGAATGCAAATGCTGACTGTCACAGGTTTGTCATTCAGATGGAAAAGCCTGATGAAACACAGGGACATCTCGCCCAACCCGTTCACAGACTGGACACCACCACAGTTGGCCATCAGTCTGGATCTTTGCTAGAATATTCAAAGGAACATCATTTGAATAGCATATGAGAAGCTAGAAACAGTACGATTCTGACTGACTGAAATGACTTAAAGTATTAATTGGAAATGTGTTGCTGATATATTTCCTGTTGATCCACTGATATGGGCGACGACTATTTTCTAATCACACAGGTCAAAACGTGTGACTGTATGTTTGGACCTAACACATACACTATAGTCTATAGCAGCGGTTTTCAAAGTGTGAGGCGCGCCTCCCCTGGGTGGCGCCAGAGAGCTTCAGGGGAGGCACAGCGTGAGAAAAAAAATAACGAGAAAAAGATGAGTAAAGTGACACTTGCCCACTTTTGGCTGTCTGTGGAGACCGAGTTCCCCCACCTCGCCAAAAAGGCTGTAAAAGTGCTCATTCCCTTCACCTCCACCTACCTGTGTGAGTGCAGGTTTTCCGCATTGACTTTGATCAAAAGCAAGTGCCGGTCAAGGCTGCAGCCAGAGTATGATCTGCGTTTATTCCTGTGTGCATCAAAGACGCAGACTCATTGTTCCCACTAAAGTAGGGGTGAGTGTAATAAGGAGGCAAAGTTGACGTTCAGTGTGTTGCCGGGAGAATATAAGGATGTTGAAAATGTTAAAAATGTTAAAAAAATATGTGTTGAGAACACGGCGTGCGAAAATATACGGGTCGTGCTGCAGCTAGATTTGCCTGTCCTCTGTAAGAAGGTGTCGGCGACTGACGTGCAAGGAAGAACGGCTGTCCACAGGCTGTTCCAACTTTAACAACTTTATTAACTTCCAGGGTAGTGAATTGAACATGCTATTGTAATTGGGTGTGTGGTATATTTTCATGCACGCACACGCATGTTCCACAACACACAAACTGAACAACACTAAATTGTCCGATCGCTACCAGTGTCCTTGCGATCTTGTTATAACAACAAGTGCATGTTACTGATGCAATATGGTTGAGACCATTCGGGCTTATTCTAGAGGGGTGCAAGGAATAGTCCAAGTAGTGGGGGAGTTTTATACAATATGTTTAAAACATAAAGATAAAAATGTTTAAAAAAGTTATTGTTTAACGTTTTAAGGAGGTGACGCTACTCAGCCAATCAAATCGGTGCAGTCAGTGAGTCAGCACGATAGATTCAAACACACACAGAGACGAGACAAGAGGAGAGAAACAGTCGGAGTCATTTCAAATGGCGTGCTCAAAAAAGAGAAAGGTAGACAGCGAAAACAGAGCATTTAATGACATTTTCTCTTACTGGACCTCTTTGAAATGCAATTGAATACCCCTGCATTATAGCAACAACAACAATAACTAGAGAATGCAATTCCTGAAGAAATTGCGAGTGGGAATGCTTTATGCTGAAAAGCTGACGCTAAACTGCTATGCCGAAATGTAATGTGTAAGAAGAAAGTGAATAATTTAGATTGAAATGATACATGAACACTGGGGGCTTGAATGTGTGATGAGAGAAGAAAAGAAAGTAAAAAGGCTTGGAAAAGCAGCAGAATATTTGAACTGCAAACTTTTGAACTAACTTGATGGTGAATGATCTGTTGCCATGCCAACGGCATTTGATGACATCCCATAATACACTTAGATGCGTTGATGGCTGCATCGTTACCAAACCTGTGAAGTTTTGGGCTGTTTGGAGTATTTTCACTGAAGTTATGAGAAAACCGTGTTTCAAGGCGAGCATTGTGTTGCCATGGCAACGGCATTTGAAGAAATCTCAAAACTGTCCCGTAGATGTCTTCACGGCTGGACTGTTAGCACATATGTGAAGTTTGAGCACTTTTTGAACATTTTCATAGGAGTTATACATTACATTAGGAGGTTACATTACTCTCTCTCTTCTCTTGATCGCCCTCTCTCTCTTCTCTTGATCGCCCTCTTGATCTTCGGCATATGATGATGACACCCCATAATTGACGTAGAGCTGTTGAGGGCAGGACCATTAACCTTTATCTGAAGTCTGCTGCTCTGAGCATGTCAGTTGGAGTGATGACATCATCGTGTTCCATGACACAGGTGTTTATATTTGAGCTAACGAGGTGTGCAGAGATCAAAGGTTTCCATTGTTCTAAATGAGAGATAAACCTCTTACATGTGAACGTTTTGTGGAAGAACCGTAACAGATATCTGTGAAATTTCAAAACGTGAAGCATGTCAAGGAAGTTGAGTATCTGAAGTGTAATTTTTGTGTACTTTCGGGTTAATAATGTGGCCTTTTTGGCAGTTTAAGAAAGGTGTGTGGCTGCTGCTGTGAGGAAATATCAGCCTGAAATTACAATGGGCTTTAATGGAGACAAGTTGAAAGTTTTTGTCACTTCATGCCCTCAAGAGGCATTTTGTTTAATTATTTTTGCTTAATTATTTGTCATTTTTCAAGCTACGAGATGTTTTCCTACGTTTGACATGAAAGATTATGTCTCAGGAATGTAGGGTTTGGGAATTATGGCAGTTATGGCAAATTTCAAGATTTCCTACCCTCTAGCTGTGACATCACGCACTCTAGTTAATGTTAAAATCTGAAGAAAACCTCTTTACCAAGGTCTGAACAATGTTTAATATCTCTAAAAGTAAGAATCAGATTTAAAAGTTGTGTTACACGAATAATGTCAGGAAGAGGTGTAACATTTTAAAGTTGGAATGAGGTTTCTGAGTGAAAGTATGAAGGAACAGTTAGGAGTTGAAGTCGCATGAAGATTTGTTGAAGTCTGAAGAATTTCTCCATTGACTTCCATGTTAAAAATGTGATGAATTATGGGATGTATCTCTGGAATTATGAAAGTTATGAATGAGAAAAGTAATAGCCATCGATTCCCGACCGAGCTGAACGTTTTGATGTTTGAACGGAGTTTCTGCGATGTTCAAGGAGAAGAGGTGCAAAATTCCCACTAAATAACATATAGTGGGAATGCTGTATCAACATTCCCACTAAATAATTGGGAGGGGGGGGGCGCGGCTGTTCTTATGTTCTCTGAGGGGATGCTCACCTTCCCACACTTTGAAAACCCCTGGTCTATAGTGATGTTTAGAGCCAATGGGTTTCTCAATGGGAGGAATACAACCAAAATCTGGAGCTGAAAAGCAAACTGTACCATTCAACAAGTTTAGCATTAAAATCTCATAACCAGCACAAACACACTTCACCTTTATTATCCGAGAAAGGCTGCAGGGTAGAGGGTGTGCGTGTTTGGCCTCAAAAAAGAATCTAGGCCAGTAGGACTTTTACACTCTTAATAAACATGCTGGAAACACACAGTTTAACAGGACCATTTTAAAAGTAGATCAGTACTTGAAGGAACACCTTTGATTCAAGCTAGGTATAATTAGTTTGTGCCTTTTTGAAATAACTTTAGATTTCTATGATTTAGATGCAAGTAGCTGGTTAACATCTGTGTGATTCAATCTAATATTTAAATTAAATCGAATATTTAATATTCCATTCCTCACATACTTATGTATATATAATATCCTGCTTTATATTTTGCTACTGTACATTTGTAATTCAACATGTATAATTTCTACTTTTTTTTTCTAATGATATTTTATTTCTATTGAGATGTTTACATTTTGGAATGTTTATTTCTAGTCTTTTAATTTTTATTGTACAATGCCATATCTTTACATAAAGTACTTCTTATCTTATCTAAGAAGCTTGAATTTTGGGTTATGGCTTTGGTTTTTAACCAATATGCCACACATTTCTATAACACATGAGCCAAATTTCCAAATCTAGATGGATTAAATATCACTTTTGACTCTTTTCAAACATGGTTGTGTGTCTGGTATAAAATCAGAGTGAGGTGACTCACCGATAAGATCTGGTCCCCTCTCCTCAGCTCTCCGCTCAGGTCAGCAGGCCCTCCGGCCAGGATGAAGGACACAAAGATGCCCTCGCCGTCTTCTCCGCCCACAATGTTGAAGCCCAGGCCTGTGGAGCCTTTGTGCAGCACAACCTTCCTGGGTTCCCTGTACAGACAGTTCAGATAGTACATCAGCTCGGGGGTGTCTGTAGGTTTCAGCATCTCCAGGCCGGGCGGACATCAACCGACAGCACGGTGACCAAAACCTCCGAGCTGCTTTGCTAAGTGACAGAGCTGGAGGAGTGCTGGGGCTCCACAGGGGAACGCTGCTCTATTTAGATCACTGTCCCCGATTCAGTTCTGAAGCCAGAGGAACCTGATCACATGCTTACACACACTCTCACTCGCTTTCTCTCTCTGCTCCTCTCACAGACACATTAGCACACACACTTAGATTGGGTGTTTACACACATACATACATATACACCAGTGCCCTTCAGGGAAGTACTAGCATTTTTCTAGGGTACTGACTCAGATTCAGGCCACACACTTTCATTCTGAGAAGATTTGTGACAAGACAGACTACACAAAACATATGAGCAAGGTAGGAGTGAAGGACAGTAGTTCAACTTCTGCACTGTCAAACAAGCATGATATTTATCAAACCACACAACACTGAAAACCAGCTGTTTTGATTTAGCTATTTTGCAGTCTGGCAATGTCATGATGGAAGTAAGCAGCATACTGCCATCTGCTGGTGAAGGCATATACTACAGCAGCATGAAGAAGGTAAACAAAACATGATTGGCAGTGAGGGCTCTTTAGAGCGAAGCTGATGAGTTTATTATTTTTCTTGTTCTTCAAAAGCTATGTGGACGCCCAATCTTTGTCAGTGGTGTGATATTCATAATTATTATTATTATTATTCTTACTTATGTTCGTATAAATATATATCAATTTTTGTAATTCTCTTTTATATTATTTAATTCTTATATGAAACAACTGTCAGGAAACCATATTTTCCCTGGGATAAATAAAGTATTTCTGATTGTGATACATCATACCTAGCACATTATCTGCCAGTGAGTAATCGTTTTTGATTGTTCATTAGACAAAGGGCACTCAGAGACAAGAGACAATTATAATTACATGATCATTGTTATTATACTTGCATGGTTTTTATATGAGACACCAAATCAACCCCCTTCAGTGAATGCATGATTAATCATATAATTTTTTTTAAAACATGAATGTCTTGTTCCTGTGCTGGCAGTCTCATAGTTCAAAATGACCTCTGCAGATGTTCAATAGAGACACCTGATGTCTGAAGTCCAGGAAGACACTGCCTTGGATTTAATCAGTTTATTTGGAAGTTAAACAGTAAACTAAGCTCTAAGCTATTTGGTAAGTCATATTTTTTGCATTTTGCAAAATGCAAAAAAATATGAGTTACCAAATAGTTTCATAATTGAAATGAGTACAGCTGTGGTGTCCCTATGATGAGACAGACTCAACTCTTCACATACCAGCAGCTAAAGACACAGATACTAGCTCAGGGTTGCATGTGTTTACATGCACATCACAAGCTGCAAAACCTGAAATGTACATACTACACATAACTCTACAGAGAGTTTGGGGTTACTTTTATTTATATGGCCCAACTTCACCTCAGGGGGCTTTACAATCTTTCCATATGCTCCACATTTAGATGAAGAAACATTTGAAAGTCTGACATTGATAAAGGCGCGCACATGTAGCCACATTTATTTTAAATAAGATTCATTTTATTTAGTTTCGCAATGCAGTGTTGTCTTTCTGCATTGAAAGTTGTATTATTTTGCCATGTGGCAAAGTGACAGATGATTGGCTGAGAAGCACTGTGTTCAATATCAAACAGTTCCTTCATCAGACCTGCAGAGGATTCACATCCACTACAGAGGGGAACAGGGTCTACCATGAGAGGGAAACTGAAATGACAATTCATGATTTGGACACAACTACTATTTTGACGCATGTTATAAATATACAGATTTATTTTATCTTAAGCAAACAGTTTTTTCTGAATGTATGGTTAAACACAGATGCGGCTTTCACACCAGCGCTTTTCCCTTTCTAGCTCCTTGCTAGAGCTTTTCTGGTTCAGCTCCGGTTTCCCTTTTCAGCTCCCGCTCTGTTCACACCGCCCAGCTGCCGCTGCTCCGTTATGACGTCACCGTTTACATCGCTGATTTTCTCCCCAACGGAGCTCACAACAACAACAACAACAACGGGGGGGGGGGGACTGCGTCGGGTCGATGATCGTGTTGCTTTTAATCATACGAAGCCAGATTAAATTAAATAACGACTTCTCCAACCTTATACTTTTCTCCAGAGTGCCGTGGTTCATTGTTTATTAATGTGTTTCAGCGGCATTTACCGACCGCTGCAGTGCTGGCTGCTCTTCCACGGGAGTTTATTCTCCCGTTAGCTCCGGGTTAGCTCACACGGCTCTAAAGTATTCACTGTCTGACTGTCACACAAGCAGCTGATACATATCCCCAGTTCCCCTTAAGTGAATGTGTGTCAGTCTGAATTGACGCTGTTTGGCATCACAACGCTGTTATGAAAGTTTCTCTGGTATAACATGGGTGATGTTAGCATAGCAACCGAAGCTAAACTGACTACTTGCTAAGCCGTTTTCTACAGGCACATTTTACCGGCGTATTTTTCATTATGATTCTACTTGTGATAGTCGGACATGACAACCTGTGCAGCCCATGTATTGATTCCATCCGATAGCTGCTATAATAACAAACAAAACGTCTGCCTGCTCTCCACAATGATCAATAACAGCTAACGGATGGTCAAAGTAAGGTACAAATAAACAGAATCACACGAAGCCTGGTTAGTGTTGCCTGACTTTATAAAGTGTGTTTTTTTTTTATAAGTGTGTGGTTGCCTTCTAGTCACTTTGCTCAGCGCTACTGCTTGGAGGCAGGCATGACGAGACTCTTCAGTCGACCCATGTTCAGAGGAGGTGGGTTTAGTTTCCTGCACGCCTCAACGTAAGAGAGACGTAAGCGACGCCGCGTCATAGCTCCGAAGCTCTTGCCTCTAGACCAACAATTTTTTGGAGCTGGAAGTGAACCGGATTCCGGAGCTAAGAGGCGGCGCCGCTGCGGTGTGAACAGGAAAAACCGGTACTTTTCCAGCTCCAGCTCCGAGCCGGAGCTGGAAAAGCGCCGGTGTGAAAGGGGCAAGAGAGGTTGGTGAGGGTAAGGCACTGGTAAGAGGTTAAAGGTCAAGGTTGAAAGTATCAGTCAAAGAGAGAAACTAGAACAAACTAGGTTACTCATCTAGGTTACTCATCAACTTGGAAGCATGCAAGCTCTGTAGTGGTGCATTTATCCCCAGATACCATTGAAGTAATGGTAATGGCTTTCCATTTGGCATCACCTCCGCTTTGCGCTTTCCTCACTCACATTTTTGCTCACATCTCAGCTCAACAAATCAGTGAAGCAGGACAGAAACGTGAGGATGGAGGCATTGTCTATGTCAACGGGACCTTCCTTCCTCCATACAGCGTCATTTTGATGACATAGCAATACTCCACAGCATCTAATCTGTCTTTTGATGTTAACAAATGGAAGCAGTTTACAAGAAACCTACCTGCAGTGTTAGAACTTTTGCCCCAACACCATTATGGATCTACTGGTGTGTCACGTTGTCCATGTGATTACACTGATACATGAATCAAATCTGACTACTTCAAAAAGAGCATAGACATAAGTGAGCAATACATTCGGCTATAAATGCACAACATCTACGAATTGCTTGTAAGTGATTTTTAGTATTGGTTGTGCAGCAGTGCTGGAGGTAGTTACTGAAGTTGAATAGTGCTGCTTTCAATCCATACATTGTGGAAGCCAAACGTAGGCAGGCAGTGAGAGCAGGCCAAGCTGTGCACGAGGAAATGGTAACATGGCATGCCGTTTAAATACAGGAACAGGAGGTGTGAAATACCTGGTGATGTCCGAGTCAGGGAACAGGCTTAACTGATATGGGAGGGGGGCGGAGTGGAGGAGGCTGGAGTGGAGGAGGCTTTTGTCGCACTCCACTGGGGAATAGTGTCGGGGGGAGGGTGCTTTGTCACATAGTTTGTTCACAGTGCTGTAAACTGGCTCAGGAGGCCTACAGTGGAGTGAGAGACAAGAGCAATAAGGTTAGTGTCCAGAGACAGGGCGGGGTAGAGGGTCTGTGATACATACAATGGAGGCACACAGATGAAACACAGGAAGAAAAATAGAATCAAAGCATTATATGTGATATACTTTGTGTGTGCTCCATTGGAAAAGTCATCATCAGTAACAGGGAGGAGGAGGAGGAGGAGGAGGACGGCCTTCGCTACAGGACGTTACCTCACTTTGTGTATGGGACGCGGTGGAGAGTGTGGTGTTTGTTGTAAATGGTATTTGGTTCTTCCTGGTTAAGCACTTAGTCAGAGAGAACATACTCAACCACCAGATATTCTTATATAATGAATGACTTATTTTCATTATCCACTAATCTGTTATTTCCCACTGCCGTGTCTTTAAAGAAAATCCTTTAGTTTGAGAAGCTGCAACCTGGAAATGTTTAGAATGACAAATGACTTCAATGAATTACAAAATGATTAGTATTTAGTGTTCATGGCAATTATGAGCCTATTCAAGGATGTAATTGTTGTTTTTTTTGACATGGTTAATAAAATAGTTTTATAATGTCACATATTGGTATTAAAGCTTAAAGGTGGGGTAGGTAATTTTGGAGAAACCAGCTCGAGTGCGCTAGAATTTGAAAATACACAACCGGAAAAAATCTGCCACTTCCTTACAGAGCCCCTCCTCCAACACACACGAACGCGCACATGACCAATGAGGGACACGAGATAAGTTTGTGCACAGATGGAAGGCGGACAGTAGTGATGGGAATTATGGCTCTTTGAAGGGAGCTGGATCTTATGGCTCCGTTCCTTTCAAAGAGCCGTTCAAAAGAGACGTTTTTTTTTAAAGGGGGCGGGGTTACTAGGTTTATCTGCGAAATAATCACCAGGATAATGATTGACTGTATTGCCAGACCTAATGTCAATAATCTGCATTGTAAACATGACACAAGGTGGCGCCATATCCATGTCATCATGTCAGTGAATGTACTTTGAATTTACCCTCTGTATGTGATAAGTAAATAAAGTTGCCTTGCCTTGAATGAAATTCACGCAACTCTTAATATTAGATACTGTGTTTTTAAGTGGCGATGGAGATTATTTGTTGATCCTGCTTTAAAGGATATTTTGCCTTTACAAATGGTGCGCTTTATCACTGCCTGGGTTTTGGTTGAAGTGCATCCAAATGCCGCGTTTGGCTCATTTTTCATCCGAAAAACACGTTGTCTACCTGTCCTGTACCACTTGGTATGACTTCTCTCTCTCGCGTATTCCGTTAAGACCCACCCCATCTCACTCCTCGTGCTGAAACCTACCAATCAGAGTAGGGGGGGGATCTTCACAGAATACGTTTGGGGAACAAAATCAAGCTTTTTAAAAGGCGAGTGGATTTTGGCAGGCAGTGAGTGCGGACCAACGATTGAACGATAACAAGAACGGCTCTCACCAAGTAGGACTCGGTTCCCCTCGTTCGTACCAAAGAGCCGTTCAAAAGAATCGGCTCGTTAGCGACCGACACATCACTAGCTGACAGGCAGGTAGGCCATCCAGTTATTTTAGCCGGGCCGGCTAAAATGATTGGTCGTGCTTTTTACAGTACTACGGCTTCCACAGATGACATTTTTTTATGGATTTTTTGTCAAAGCACTTCAGATATTCATTGCTATCAGGATGTTAAGAGCATTCCATGGAATATAACAAAAAGTGTATCTCGAGCCAGTTTCTTAAACTTACCTACCCCACCTTTAAATGATTTATGGTTTGTAATTCATTCATTTTGGATATGTACAAATAGGCCTATGTAGCGGGCTGATCAAGGAGCTATTACATATCATCTATTTAGGTTAAAAGTAGTGTAAGATATGGTTAGAATTTAAAGGTACAATATGTTATATATATATAACACAACTAACATTATCAACAGGTTGTGAAGACGTTACAGTGTGTTGCACTGACTCAGATATCCTCTGAAACTAGCATGCTAGCAGCTAGCCCCGGGCCAGGTGCCTGGTGGGGCATGTAGAGGCTCTCAGAGCACTAACATGCTCCCACTGGCTGCGGAGCCACATATCCATGGTCTGTAACTGTTTTATAGTTTGTTCTTTGGATTGATCCCCAGTTCTGCAAACGTTCTGTTGCTCAAAACGACAAGAGACAGTTGCTTCCCGCGGGCAGTGAGACTGTTAAACAACTGAACTGCTGAAACAACTTCAAAACATTCATCTGCTACTCAGTAATATATATCTAATATCTAATATATATCATTCCAATAACTTGTATATAGACTCGTACTGCACTATTCCACATACTCACTTTATTTTAGAACTATTTTTCTTTTTGTATTGCTCTTGCTATCTGTATTGTTATTATGTTGCATTGTTGGAGAAGCCTGTGACATAAGATTTTCAACAACATAATTACTCTGTAGCTATGTTAGTTTGACAATAAAGAACCTTGAACCTTGAACCTTGGCTCATCCTCAAAAAGTCAAATCATGATGTGTTTTCTATTTCCATCAATTCCTTGCGACCAATAGCATGCTAATGGAACATGCAGGGCATGCAGATTGTGAGTGAGCAGTATAAATATCTCACCTTAACTGGAAGTGCTGGGAATCAAACCTGTGACCCTCGCCGTCATCTAGCGAGGCATTTCTAATAAAATAAAAATAGTGCTCATTCATTTTTGTTCATAAATTGACACTGATGATAGACAGACTTTGGGGCATGCGGCACACACAAAATAGAGATAGCTGAAACAGAAAAGTAACGCCCTTAAAGAAAGTGAATCGGAGATTCTTCCACAACAACATCAGCACACATCAGTGTCGGGTAACCTGCTGCAGACACTGCACACATTCATTGCCGGTTCATGCTCAGTGTGTGCATGTCTGCTGTTTATGAACTGATGGGCACTCACAAGTGTAAACTGGAGCATTCAGTTTTAAAAAGGTCATTTATTTGTAACTACCAAAATCACAATCAAATAAATCACTTCAAATGAAATGATTCACCTGAATTCAGTGTATCTTTGGGTTGCCTGTCTGCTCTTTTGTCGCATAATACTCTACTGAAGCCACAACATTTAGGGACTTCTTTCATTATTGGAGCACACATTTAAAGAGCGATATCGCAGTGAAGAAGGAAATCAACATCTGCAGTCCTTCTTAGCATTTCAGCATCTCAAAAAATGAATGACAAAAAGCCAATTACATTACTGACCAACATCGCAGTGCCATCAAAGGAGAATTGAGTGTGACAGTCATAGGACACACAGGAGCCAGAGAGGTCTGGACAGTTGGCTTGTTTCTCCTGCTGAATCACCTGGGATAAGCTGAGCTGAGGCAGCCAGTCAGTTCAGATCAGACCCAAACGCAGCAACCTTGTGAAGATCCGAAGGTGCCATGGAGGTTTGGTCACACGTACTGCTCTAACTCATGACCCAGATGTTTCGGCCCTCTTCACTTTCTGAGCTTTGGTGTTTTACTTGTCACATTAGTGATAAAATACTGGAGTTGCTTTATCAGTTATAACAGGGAGTGAAGATCCATCTGGCTTTATTACAATGTGTGTTCTAACTGTGTGTGGAGAACACGGAGAACAAGAGCCGCTGTCAGAGTGCTTCACTGTAGGTCAGCGAGGTAATCTCAAGAACCTTGGCCAAGAGCGAGTAGTAAACCTCTTAACTCCAAAGAGAATGGAGGGCTAATCCCTCACTCAACAAAGCTTAATACAGGGGTCCTTCAGTTATCCTCTGAAATGGGCTTTTGTTATCACTATGCTGCAGCATTCCATCACCGCTCTTTATTTTGGGGTATGACAACACAAGAAAATGATTGCCACAGCACGCAACAATGACCTAATCCCACAGAGCAGCATTAACAAGTCATGTATTTACTTGTTCATTATGATATCCACCATATCCTTGTTGTGCTGCCTACAAATATATGCTTCGGTTTGCCAATCTTCTTTCAAATACAATACATATTTATATAAACAAGCATTTCTCTTGAGATTTGCCTTGATAGGACATTTGGCCAACTTGGGGGTGAGCCGTGTGGCGGCTTAATGTGGATTAGGTGTTAGGGCAGCTGAGGTGGAGCTGCTAATGTTTGGCTGTGACTCTGTGGAGACGTCTTAAGGTCTTCTGTTGGGACTGGGAGCAGTAAACACAGCAGATATTTTGGTCTGCCAAATTATAAACCAATATTTTCAGAGCCCATGTTATCTAAGACTGGGTTACAATTCCATTCCACTGTTCATACATAACTAAAACGTTTAACATCACTAAAAGCCTTACATTTGTATTTATTGGTAATGATTTGCAGCACTGTGTTGGATAAGACACTTTACAGCTCTTAGAACAATCTTTTGAACAATTCTCCCATAGTTTGAATTCCTCACAGCTGCCTTATGATGCTTGTAGTTTTTTCTACACACACATGAATGCACTCCTGGCTCTGACCATGCAGTCTTAGGTCACTTTACTGCACTGCTTTCTAGAAATAGCGGTTGTAGAAATGTACCCTATTAATGAGCGAGCTTATCTTTGCAAAAGTAACATAGTAACTTGTCATATCAGCTTCTGTTTTTTCACAACCCAAAAAGCTCAACTAATCCCTGGAAAAGATATAACAACGCACTCGTGACACACCAAAGCCCCCTGTGTCTTGCCACTGATGACACATCACTACCACAGAGACACACCATGGGCAGATACAGATTTCTCAGCACATCACGTTCAACCTGTCCTTGTGCAATGATGGAACCGCTGCTGTAAGGCAACATTTACCATGACTAAATCATTTCCTCTGATAAGTAGCTTTAACAAAACCTTTTTTAAACCACAGCTTGGACCCCAACAACAGCACACTTTAGAGTCCCATGGCTCTGTTGTGTTTTTATTTTTAAATCTGGATGCTCCAATGTTTTCTAGGCATTTGTCACATTACCACTCACAACACATTGTCTAGAAAGGAATCATAGAGACATTCAGACACATACACAGAACCCAGGACAGGGAGCGGCGGTTATAAGAAGCTGTTCCTGGGGACCGTTCAATACAACATCCTGATTGGGAATCAGGGGCACCAAAACTATATTTTAATAAAAAACAGGTGATTCCAACACAACATGCACATGTTTTCTAATTGCACCAGAACTCAGAATGGGGTTTCAATTGAATTGCCACACAAACACAGATCAGTCAGGACAGGGGGGGGGGATTTTCTACCTTTGTAGTTGTCTGTTAGGAAAGGGAGGTAATTACCGTAAAAAGGAAAAACCCTCCAACCTGTTTATATCCTCTTCCCCAAGTAAGTGCCTAGGGAGGGGGGAATAACTCCCAGGGGAGATGGGGGGGAGGCCAGACTTGTACTCCAGAGTGCCACTGTTGATGGGGGAGGAGATATGACTTTCCATGGCTGGAGAGAATGCTGTAGAGAAGAGAGAGAAAACAAAAACAGAGCAGCTGCTTGAACAGTCAAACCCAACACACACATTTCCCTCATATCACAAAATCATTACTGCGTCATTATTATCTCCAATGTTTCTTATCTCTAATATTCTCTAAAGTTTATATTTGAAAGTTAAAATACAGGGGTTGAATTCTAACCACTCAACTTGTTTTTGAATTGATGTGAAAATTCAAAACATGTATATATTATTATACATTATATTATATTATATAATCTTTTATCTCAACTAGACTACAAGGAAATAGTGCTACTTGGAGATTTTAACTGGGACTGGTTAACTTCTGTGTCAGAGGATTTAAAAAACCTTTGTATCTCTCTGAATGTTACTCAGATTGTTGACAGTCCTTCTCGCCCTAACATTAAGTCCCCTAATAAATCCTCCCTAATTGATCTCATTCTAACTAATGTTCCCTATAAATACTCATCTGTGGGAGTATTTGCGAATGATGTGAGTGACCACTGTGCTGTAGCCACAATTAGGGACACTAAGGTCCAAAAGGTTAAACCTCGTATTGTCATTAAGAGAGACATAAAACATTTTGTGGAGCAGGGTTTTGTACATGATCTGTTTGGGTTTGATTGGGGAAAAATCGATCTGTGTGCTGATGTAGAAACTGCATGGTCTTATTTGTATCTTGGTTTTATGGAGATCATTGATAGACATGCACCCCTGCGTAAATTTAGAGTAAAGGGACGAGACAATCCTTGGTTTTCCTGCTGAACTGTCCAGTCTCCTGCATGAGAGAAACAAGGCTTGGGCAAAGGCTAGGAAATCAGGCTCAGAGGTTGAATGGCTGCGTTTTAGGCAGCTAAGAAATAGCTTCACTTCACATGTCAAAAGTGCTAAGTCGAAGTACTATTTGTCAGTTACTACAGAAAACCTAAATAATCCTAGAACATTTTGGAAAGCCATAAAATCGATATCCACCGGTGAGATCCGTAATGAGCTACCTCCGTGCCTTACATCTGGCTCTATATCGGACAGGGCTACTATGCTACATTGTTTTAATGAGCATTTTGTGTCCTGCGGTTCTATGTTTGATTCTGTGACTAACTCTGCTTCTGTGAACACCACAGTCGGTGACTCTGAACAATGTGGTCTGGAAAACCCTTTCAGTTTTACTCCTTTTACTGTAAATGTTGTTCATGAAGCATTATCTAAGTTAGATCCTAAGAAACCGGCTGTGCCCCATCACCTAATGTGTGTGTGTATATATAGCCCTTCTCTCCCTTTGTCTTGTGCCAGTTCGTCTTGTCTCCACGTCGAGTCCATGTCTGTTATCATAGTGAATCTTTTGTTTATAATCTTAGTTTTTCCTATTAAGTGATTTTGTTTGTAGTTTTAAGTTTGAAGCTTTAGTCTTTTATAAATAAAATGTATTTTTGAGTTAACTGAATCGTGCATCTGAGTTCCTGTGAGCCCATCGTGTCAAACATAGCACCATCACTGCGACAATGAAAGTGGTGAATGATATTGCTGGTGTTTTAGACAATAAGCAGAGTTGTGCAGCTCTGTTTATTGACCTTTCCAAAGCGTTCGATACCGTCGATCATCACATCATTCTATCCCACATTGAATACTGTTTGACAAACTGGTCGTTTGCTTGTGCCACAAACCTGAAACCTATAGAACAGCTGTACAAGAGAGCTATCAAGGTGTTTGACAGAAAGCCATATTCATACCACCACTGTACCATCCTTGAAAAACACAATTTCTTGAGTTTTGACAATTTGAAGTCTTTAAAAAGTATGAGCTTTATTTATAAATGTTTACATGGGCCCCTCCCTTAGGGGAATTCATCCACAGAAAACACACCGGACGCTGCACTAGGTCAGAAACCAGAGGAGACTGTGAGGTCCACCGTAGACGGACCACTTTTGGACAAAATGTCCTCTCCGTTAAAGGCAGCTCTTTGTGGAATAGCCTCCCAACTGAGTTACGGGATTGTCCCACTCTCAATAGCTTCAAAGGCCAACTTAAAGAATGGATGAGAAACAAACAGACGTGTAATCACCGCTAACTGCACTTTAACACAGGGGTATCTCCTCTTGCACTTTAGGTAGCTCTTGTATCATCTCTTGCACTTAATATGTCCTAGCTGCTACATTGTGCTGCCATGTGGTAAATGCTTGTGTGCTGCTCTTGCTCTTTTTCCTTATCATGTATTTATTTTTTGCTATGTTTATAAATGTCATGTTCTTATATGTTGTATGTCAGGGACTACGGATGGAAATGAGCTCAAAGCTAAAATTTGGCATATTTACACTTGAAGTATTATTTGTTTTAAGTGTTCATTAATGTGCATTGTCCCTATTCAAATAAACGATGAAATGAAATGAAATGAAGCAGAGGCTACTCAGTATTGGCTTATCCAGCCATGCAGTGGGGTGGTTTGTGAACTACCTCTCTGAAAGGTCCCAATGTGTTCATTTTGATGGGCTGTCTTCTGAGTGGTTAAACATTGCTAATGGTGTTCCTCAAGGTTCTGTTTTAGGTCCACTTTTATTCTCCATCTACATCAATAGTTTAGGTCAAAATGTCGATGGAGCTACTTTGCATTTTTATGCGGATGATACCGTGATGTACTGTGCAGGTCCCTCCATTAAGGAGGCTGGTGTTAAATTACAGGCTGTTTTTAACATTATTCAGACTCAGCTCTCTGAGCTTAAGCTTCTTTTAAATGTTGATAAAACTAAGTTAATGCTATTTTCAAAAGCCAAAAAGACTCCAGAGACTGCTTTGGATATTGTTACTGCGCAAGGACAAGTACTCCAAGTGGTTAGCTGTTATAAATACCTTGGTATCTGGCTTGATGATTGTCTCTCTTTTAAACTTCAGGTCACTAATCTGCTTAAAAAGCTGAGGGTCAGACTAGGTTTCTTTTTCAGAAACAAGTCCTGTTTCTCTTTTGAGGCCAGGAAAAGGCTCTGTGACCTTTTGACCTGTGCTGGACTATGGTGATTTGATCTATATGAATGCACCTGCCCATTGCCTGGAAAGGTTAGATGCCGCCTATCACAGTGCTCTGAGATTTGTTACTAACTGTAAAGTACTTACTCATCACTGTACCCTGTATGCCAAGGCAGGTCTGCCTTCACTTACTGTTCGGAGGCTCAGTCATTGGTACATGTTTATCTATAAAGCCATGCTGGGTAAACTCCCGTCTTATATCTGCTCTCTGATCACACAGAGAGTTGCAGGTAGCTATTGCCTGAGATCCCAGGATGTGGTTTTGTTACATGTGCCGAGTGCAAGGACTGACTTAGGGACGAAAGCTTTTATGTGCGCAGCTCCTCTTGCTTGGAACAGTCTGCAAAAGAATGGAAACTGAGCAATTTGGTTCCACTGCCTGTTTTTAAAGCACGGATAGATGCTATGCAATCTGATACTGTTGGTACCTGTACATGTTGATAGGTATGTCAATTGTAAACCTGTAACTGTGTTGTATGATGTCCTTCTTGTATTTCTGTTGTTTTATGTTTTGATGTCTTCATGTGGAACCTACTGCAGCAGGTCTCCCTTGAAAAAGAGATCGATGATCTCAATGGGATTCACCTGGTTAAATAAAGGTTTGAAATGAAATGAAATGATATTTGAAGAATAAAAAAGCAAGCAGAACTGTCTAAGTTATGTCATAAGTGTAACTACACAATAAAGATAACGTTTTATGAACAGCCTTTCCAGTGACAAATTGAGTTCATTTAGAGACTGAATAACAATGATATTTAATAGCGAAATGTATAACTCGCCTTATACAATAAACAAAGGAGGTTATGGTTCTGATTGGTCACTCACTCTTGAAGTTTAATTAAGCAGTTTTGCCTTGCTTGTTAATTTCTGTTATTATAAGTATGTCAGTGGCTGTGTGTGCAGAAAATCCATGGATGCAGCATAAACATGTTAAGGTTTTGTGTATTTGTGAAATATAACGGATATCGAGAGATGCTTTAAAATCTCACACTACACATGACACAGTTGTACTTTTACACAGCTCCCTGCAGTATGTAACACTTTTCTAACAGCTGATGACTCATCATTTTAAATACAAAAGGTGAGGACTTACAGTGTGTGATATCAGGAGGCCCATAGGGATCTGACAGGTAGACATTGGTGGGCTTTCCCACCTTTAGGTAGACCACGTCCGACGTGTTCTTCAAAATGGCCACAGCTTCTTCATGAGATACTTCCTCCAGACTGTAGTTATTCACCTGTCCACACACAGATACAGTACAATCAGCAGTGTGATTTCTTCCTGCTGTAGAGATCCAACCGGCCTGCTCCCTGCCTCCAGGAGACTGGATTAGGACAGATGGTGTTCAAGGGACAACACCACAGTAGGAAGGTAATGCTTTTAGGCGCTGGTTAAGCAGGAGGGCTGGCTCTTCAGACAAATCCTGTTCCACAGCTGAGCCAGGGCCCGTTTCATCACGTCATTATCAATTAGACTGAAGCTGTAAGACTATTGTCTGATGTGTACACTGCTTGGTTAATGTACTGTACAAAGTGTGACATGATTCAATGAATCAACATTAGTCTCTTGCATATCTCTCTCTATAACAGGGTTTGAATAAACTTGACAAAGGTTGGGTTATTTATAAATCTCTACAGCAGGCTCTTGTGATGTCAAAGGCTATAAGGAGTGGTGGACTGAAGTACTGCACTTACAGTTGTGAGGTACTTGTACTTTTATTAAATCTTTACATTTTCTTTTACTCCATACTCCACTACAATTCAAAGGCAAATATTTTATTTTTGAATTCCACTATATTTATTTGATAACTTTAGTTACTTTTATGATGCAGGTGATAATATCTGTCCATCGTTTATGTTTGTTTATGTTCCTTTACAGCTAAACTTAACTAAGCTACGACTGCTTTTCGTTGTGCAACCCTGGTTACAGAATGACAATAAATTAGCCTTGATCCTTATGAATCCTTGAGTTTAAATTCAGATACCTAGTTTACCATATTAGCACCAAATAATTTGTGATATAGTATTGTAAGTACATGGTAAATGGACTGCATCTATAGAGTGCTTTTCCACTCTGTACTTTTTAAGAGTGCTTTCACTATACTAGTCAGCCTTCACACACAATAGTGGCAGAGCAAAGGCAGCCATACAAGGAGTATGTTAAACCCAATTCCACAACATTTCCACCCCCCAAACTGACCACTGAGTTGGAACAATTCAACAACTCTAAGCTTCATAGAGTGCCTGCTTATGACCTAACCTTTTGTATTAGATTTTCTTTCAATGGGTTACTTTAGTGTGTTGGCTGTTTGGACATCCAATTGTTTAACGGTTCCACGGAGGTTCAGTGAAGAATTACTGTATTGTTTTAATGTGAAAGTGTCTCTGAAAATATACCTAACATTTATTTGCTTAAATATACGTATGCAAGCTTTTAAACTTAATCAAGTACTCACCATTAACAGCCTGTCCCCTACTTGTAGTCTGCAGTCCTTCTGAGCTGCACCGCCATCAATGATCTTGGTGACATAAATGCTGTTGTCTCCTGGGATGTGCTGGTTTCCAACGCCACCTGCAATACTGAAGCCAAGCCCTGTGTGTGTTTGCATATGTGAAAGTAACTGTTTAGTTTCTAGGTTGTGTGGATGACAGTTGTATGTTAAGCATCATGAAATACCACCAATATATAACGTGTATGTGTCATGATACTGTACATGTCAACGCTTATACATTTAAATGTTCTTTTAAACCAGCAGTTTGTCTAAATATTATATACTGTATATTCACATTTGAAAGTTTTGGGTCACTTTTTTGTTGGAGGAACAGTTTTACAGAAAACATCTACTGTACTTTGGGTGACTACAACACCCCAATGCACAGAGCAGTACCGCTAATCTCATTGTAAAAACGAAATATGCTGAAGGAACAGTGGCTACTGAAATGTTCAACTGTTACAATACTTCTGTGTGTGATTGAATGTATGGTGGACTGTGTGTGTGTGTGTGTGTGTGTGTGTGTGTGTGTGTGTGTGTGTGTGTGTGTGTGTGTGTGTGTGTGTGTGCCTGAGCCCACCTTTGGGCCCTTTGATGAGTTTGATCTCGATGATGGTCTCCAGCATCGGCCTGCGGCGCCGCACATACAGCCTCACGATGGAGCCTGCCACCTTCAGAGCCTCCACCGCCTTGCTGTGGCACACCTCAGACACGTCGGCATCGTTCACCCGCAGGATGCAGTCGTTTACTCTGGGAGAGAAGCAGTGTGGAGAAATGATCATTATTATTAGTAATCATTTATAACGCCAAACAAGAAGTCCTCTTATATGGATTCACACTATGTTGACTACTTTGTGTATTGTCGTTCTATCACAATTAAAAATAATCAGTGTTGACAAGTTTGATAAAAGAAATTCCAGCTACGAAAATGTACAAAAAGATGAATGTGTAGAATTGAATAAGGTGAGGTATGACTACTTAAAGAGCCTGTGACACGAGTTTCCCCCATCATCCAAACCCATCAATTTTAGTAAATATTGTCCCCTTGAAACCGTTACTGAACTGATTTGGGATATTTGTACTTTGATAACCATTAATCTCCCCTTAATCTCCCCTTCAATGTTGACCATATTCTGGATCTTCTCGGGGGTTCTTCAAATCCCGCCAAATTATGTGTGACGTAATTGCGGGCCAAGAGCTCCAGCTGCACCGTTCCGGATCCCAGCATCTGCATGCAAACGCACGATGGCGCACACAGCAGCAAGTTCAGACAGCGATGACAGTTTAATTTTGAACGTGTCTGAGAGCTCATATGAGGCTGAAGGATCGGAAAGTGATAGTCATGACATCGTAGACGATATTGGCTATATGCCCTACAGATTCGAACCATATGCCTCTGAGTCTGAATCGGATGAAACGAACTCCGAGTCGGACAGTGGAGACGACAACCCGCCCGACGATCGTGAGATACCTCTCGATCTACAACGCATGAAGAATTTTTTTATTTTTTTTATTTAGCCTTTATTTATACAGGTGTAAAATCTCATTGAGACACAAGGTCGCATTTTCAAGAGAGACCTGTCAGTGGTAACACTACCACACAAAGCTACAGACAGACAGGACACTAAACACAGAGGCAACACTAAAATACAACAATGTGGAATGGTTTGTAAACTATTTTATTTACGGAGTTTGACTAAATAACGATTCTGTTTTCAAATAATGGCAGTGGACACTAATCAGTTTATGTTTTATCTGTTAGAAGTTTAGGAATTAGGTGCGTCAATATGGGCGATAATACGGTCATGTAGCCAGTGGCGGACTGGGACTAAAAATCAGCCCGGGACTCTCGACCGGCCCACTTCGGTACCTTTAGTAAATTGTCAACGGGGGGAGTGGGGGATGTGCTAGTGACTTATCCGACCGGCCCACTTCGGTACCGGCCCATCGGGATTCGTCCCGATGGCCAGTCCTCCACTGCACCCAGCCCAGCCCACGTAAACTGTCAACGGGGGGAGCCTCGCTGCGGGGAAACAGTGGACCTAGTGTCCCGATCGGAGTGGGAATAATAATAATAATCATAAATCATAATCCGTGCATTTTATCCATTAATTTCCCCAACATTGTGGTAAAAAAAACACACGTTTAATCCACGTTGGTGTACTACAACTACAAAAAGCATCGGTTTGTTTTTTATCAGGAAATGCAGACCGGCTCAAACAAACGATTTTTAATCATCATCCTCACGATCATTTAATGTATCATATGTTCGCCGAATTGACATGAAAGCACTAATAAATGTAGTTTAATCCACTTGAGTTTACAACTACAAAAATAATCGGTTTGTTTTTATATCACATCCGACGGGAGGAAACTCAGCAGCTCTCACTACCGATTTTTAATCCTAATTTAATCATCATCTTCACCACAATCATTTATGTTTATGTTCGCCTAATTGACATGAAAAGCACTAACAAATATGAATATACTGTAGTCAACTTCATTAAAACGTTATTAACGTGCCTAAACTCAGTAATTCACCATTTCTACACATGACAACACACTTTGTCCGTGTTTGGCTCTCTCGCCGCACAGTGAAGCCTTCCCGCATTGACGTCACTTCCGGCTTCCCCCAAAACTTCAAATTGAGTCGAAGGAATTTCCCCGCGATGTTCGAAATTATTGATATTTATCGGAACGGTATCGCACCTTCTTTTTTAAGCTGACGGTTCGAGATTACTAGTAGCCAAATATTTCATTGCACAACAGTTGTTGGGAGGCTGTCACAGGCTCTTTAAGCATGTTTGTTCCTCCATCTACATTTTGGATATTAAATTGTAATCTATGTTGCTAATAGCCGCGTTCACACCAAGTACTTTCCTGTACTTAGTTCCGGCACTAAGAGCCCTGGCGCTTTTAACCCCAGGGTACTTAGTACAGATCGCGTTCACACCGAAGTACTTTTCCCTGAGGGAAGATTACAAGTACAGTAGGTGGCGGTAAGCACCTTAAAGTTGTTTGCAACCCGCTACAAAACAAGAGAAGAAGAAAAACTGATACAGGATCTGTTTAATCGCCATGTCGGTTTTCTTTATTGCACTCTCAAGACATAACATTAAATAGAAATATTTTAAATGTAACTAAAGTGTCAGTTGTACATGTCAGTAAACATTGTCAATATAAAATAAAGTGTCAGTTGTACTATATAATAACAGTAATAACAATATAAAATAAACTCCCAGCTGTAGGGAGTCTCAGCAGCAAACCCACCTTTATTATATATCTTCCTGAGACCCACTGCATCCGTCTGCCATAAACACTATGCAAACATACATGTTAGTTTTGGCCCATAGTGGACTCCATGTTGTGTTGTGTGAAATGGGGGGGAATTAAAAGTTTAGGTCAAATAATATTTAAAATTATATAAATTATCATATTTGTGTATGTGCCCCTGCCATTCCCCCACAAGGTTGCAACATTGATGATAAATAAATGACAAATAAAGCTTTGCCAGTTTATAACCGATGAAACATGATGGTATCAGAATAATCACTTACATGTGATGTATAGGATGCTACACAGGTCACAAAAGATAAAGTGTCAGGAGAAATAAGCTTAATCGCCATGTCGGTTTTCTTTATTGCACTCTCAAGACATAACATTAAATAGAACAATTTTAAATGTAAATAAAGTGTCAGTTGTACATGTCAGTAAACATTATATATAAAATAAAGTCATAACAGTAATAACAATATAAAATAAACTGTCCCAGGTGTAGGGATATTCTCAGCAGCATGCACACCTGAGTGCAACGTTGTGTGTCGTGTGTCAGTATTTACAAAAACTATACCAAATAAACTGTTATTAAATGCAGTTTGTCGCTCATCCTGCCGCTGCGCCGACGCTTCCTCATGGCGCAGCGCCCACACTTCATCCTGGTGCTGCTGGCGCTCCATCTGCTGCTTGAACACTTCTGCCTGGCGCTCCATCGAGGTGAGCATCTTGTCCTCCGTTTCCTGGGCCTTGGTGAACAGCACCATCTGATCTCCACGCAGCGACTCATTCACCACGGCACGCCGGTCCTCCAACGCCTGGGCGGTGTCAAAGAAATTCGCATCCCGTGTCCGCTTTCCTAAGAGGGGAAAATAAGCAATATACAATATACAAGTTTAGTCGCCATGTAGTTTTACAACATACTAGGAATGTGTTTTTTGTATTTTCACAAATAGAATTAAGGTTTCACAAATCTGAAACTGTGTTATAAAGAATCTTTTGACTCTCTGGGATAATCCAGTCCAGATTTGATGAGTCTAGGTATAGTGGTTTTAGATCAGGACCTGGTCTAATGTGGTCTACATGTAAAAAAAGCACTGAAATCTCCCTTTTTTTTTATTTTCACAAATAGAATTAAGGTTTCACAAATCTGAAACTGTGTTATAAAGAATGTTTAGACCCTCTGGGATAATCCAGTCCAAATAAATCGGCTATGCAGCGATTTAAGAGGTTCAAACACGGAGGATTGTTCCTTTTTGAAGAGTGCTTCATGTATGCTTGAACTTTGTTTAATGTTGTTGAGGCAAGTTAAACATAAAATATGATGAATATTATGAAATAAACATGATTGTGAACATCAGTTCGATGCGTAACGTTCTTTCAAGACAAAGTTACAGTGTGTGTGTACTGTGTGCTCGGGGCCGGTGTTAGCCTATTATGGCTAGCATGGCTAGCTTGATCTACTGAGCAAATAAAAGTACATCTGAGACCATTATTGTGCAGATTAAAACCCCAGTGCATGTAGTTGATTTTACCTTCGTCGTGGTCGTCATCGTTGGCCACTGAATCCGCCGTTTGTAGTCCTGCCCGAGTTTCTTTATTTTTAGCCGGTGTGCCGTGGGGCTGTGCACATTCCCAGGTCGAGTGAAAGCTACTGAACTGGCTTCAGTGCATTCCCTGGGTCGCGTCCTCTGCGTAGATCTCCAGAAGCGCCGACACCTCCTCATCATTTCTTGATGCTTGCCATAACTGCTTTCAAAAACAAACACAACGCACGGAGCGTTGTGTTTTTGTAGCGAGGAAAAACAATGGCGGCTCTACACAACATTTTCAGAGTTGTACGGGCGTGGTTTGCAATTCGCCCAGCCAATCAGCACTGCGGCACTTTTGGAGAACTTTTCACCCACAGAAAAGTACGCTCTCTGAGTTGGCTCTAAAAATGGGGGTAAAAGTACCCGAGATTAAGTACGATTTTTGGTGTGAACGCGACTCACGGAACTAAAACGCGAAAAGTACGGTGAAAGTACTCCGGTGTGAACGCGGCTAATGTATAGTTATTCATTGATATTTTTGTTTTTCCACATTTAGATGTATACATTTTTTTTTTCAAATATGCTAAATAATTTATATTCAATTTTGTTCAATGAATGTTCACAGTATAGCCAGAAGAGTTCTATTATCTGCCTCTAGACTTGTGCTCTGCTGATGTTCAGGTGTATATCAGTATGTAGTGTCTCTACTTTAAAGAGTCCTCTCCTGCTGATGTTCAGGTGTATATCAGTATGTAGTGTCTCTACTTTAAAGAGTCCTCTCCTGCTGATGTTCAGGTGTATATCAGTATGTAGTGTCTCTACTTTAAAGAGTCCTCTCCTGCTGATGTTCAGGTGTATATCAGTATGTAGTGTCTCTACTTTAAAGAGTCCTCTCCTGCTGATGTTCAGGTGTATATCAGTACGTAGTGTCTCTACTTTAAAGAG